AAAGCATCTAAGACGCCTTAACGTTGAGAACTTGCAGAGCTTTAAGCCTTTTGTACCGCGCGAATGAAAGAGTGCACATGTGCGTGTCGCAAAGATAATAGTGCATTGCCTGTAGGAACACGCAAGCAAGGGTATGTTTGGCTGCGTCAGCGCCTCTACCCGACGTTCGTTCGTCGTCCCGAATTTAGTGTAATTGTCAGGTCACAGACGGTTCTCAAAGAATCAGCTGTCTCGTGGCCTGGAATCCTAACCTGCAAAGCAAACGGCATTTCGCCATGAGGGGGGGACTTGAAATATATGCAGTGTGCGGCACCCCTTTCATACGGTTGAACATGTCTCACTTGCTTCGCCTTACTTTTGGCTCAAGATGAAAACACGAGCGCAGCATTGTGAGTGTTGTGCTTTGCTTCTGGTTGCTTTTGGGGTTGGTTGTCGCCTCTTCAAGTTCTACATTCCTTTCTTCAGCATGAAGTTTAAAGTGTGCTGTTTGTAGTGGCCCTTCAGGTTTCAAAGTTGTTCCCCAAACAGTTTACTGTTAGGGGTTCTCAATGCTTTAAAGAATGGTCCCCTTGGTGCTGGATGGTCTGGTCGGGTTCCCGGCCGGCTTGTCTCCCACTTCCTTTCATTTGTCTCCCAGTTCTTTTCATTTTTCTCCCAGGCTGGGTGCTTGTGGTCGGGTTCCCGGCTGGCTTGTCTCCCGCTTCCTTTCATGTGTTTCCCACTTCTTTTCATTTGTCTCCCACGTCCTTTCATTTGTCTCTCACTTCTTTTCATTTGTCTCCCAGTTCTTTTCATTTGTCTCCCAGGCTGGGTGCTTGTGGATTTGTCTTCCACTTCTTTTCATTTGTCTCCCAAGCCGGGTGCTTGTAGTCGGGTTCCCGGCTGGCTTGTCTCCCACTTCCTGTAATTTGTTTCCCACTTCTTTTCATTTGTCTCCCACGTCCTTTCATTTGTCTCCCAGTTCTTTTCATTTGTCTCCCAGTTCTTTTCATTTGTCTCCCAGGCTGGGTGCTTGTGGTCGGGTTGCCGGCTGGCTTGTCTCCCGCTTCCTTTCATGTGTTTCCCACTTCTTTTCATTTGTCTCCCACGTCCTTTCATTGGTCTCCCACTACTTCTTTTCACTTGTCTCCCAGGCTGGGTGGTTGTGGTCGGGTTCCCAGCTGGCCTCCCACGTCCTTCATTTGCCTCCCACTTCTTTTCATTTGTCTCCCAGTTTTTTCAATTGTCTCCCACCCGGCCGGTCTCCCATCCTTTAGGCTGGGTGCTTGTGGTCGGGTTCCCGGCTGGCTTGTCTCCCACTTCCTTTTATTTGTTTCCCACTTCTTTTCATGTGTCTCCCAGGCTGGGTGCTTGTTTCCGGCCGGCTTGTCTCCCACTTCCTTGCATTTGTCTCCAACTTTTGCCCCAAACAGTTTACTGTTAGGGGTTCTCAATTCTTTCTTAAGATGTGTCACTGCTGGTGTCCGCCCATTTCCACTGGCCATGTAGCATTTCTAATTTATCATTTTTCTCCCAGGTCTACTGCTGGTGTCCGCCCTTTTCCGCTGGCCATGCAGCATGTCTATTCATTTGTTTCCCGGGTCTGTCACTGGTGCTGCCGCCCTTTTCCGCTGGCCATGTAGCATTTCTATTCATTTGTCTCCCATGTGATTTCTTTCTTTTTGTCTTTCAGGTTTGGTCCATGCACTGCTGTTTTCTGCCCTGTCGGCTGGAACAGGTTCACCTGTTGCGTGACTGTCTCCGGGATTGCATTCCTGCCACACTGTGTAACACTCAGCTTTGTTTTCCTTTTCGGGCAAGCGTTGGATGAATGACCGGATTGGATTTCGGCGGCGTAGCAGCCATCTCTCTGTTCAGTTGGGACGGGGGGCATACGTCAGGCACCAAAATCAATTTCATGTCACATCCTTCGCTCCTCATGCTTTTATTTCTTGTCCTCACGTGGTCAACTCCCCGCTGATTGAGCAGCATGACCAGCATCATGTTCGCACTTGAAGAATAATTCCCCAAAAGGTTTACTGTTAGGGCTTCTCAATTCTTTCTTAAGATGTGTCCGCCCGCTCTGTACTGCTGTGTCCGTCTCTGCCTTGCAATCCTTTACATTTGTCTCCCAGCTCTGGGCTGCTGCGGCCGCCTCTGCCTTGCAATCCTTTGTCTCCCACCTCTGGACATCGCAAGCTCTAGTTTCGATATTGAAAACACAAACTGTTTGGGGTCTACGGTGGTGTTATTTATCTTGTCATTCGAATGTTGGTTCCTTTTTCATTGTCTGCACCCCTGCCAAACTCTTTCAAAAACATTGATGCGCCAGCTGTACCATATTATCAATGTTTTCTCTTGACACCAGGCTCCCTAACCCTTCTGCGTTGTAGCCTCTGCAATGCCTTCACCGCCTTCTCTAGCCGATGGGAGGTGAGTGAAGTAGTAAAGTACCAGGAAACCTTAGGATTGTCATGGAACCAAGAACTAAGATTGCGCAGAAAGTCTTAGGGACAATGATTCTGTTACACATCTTCAGATTTTCATAGATCCAAGAACAAAGATTGCAGAGAAAGCGTCGTGGAAAATCTGGGCGTTGATGAGAATAATCAGCAAGATTTTATTGAACATCTTGACGTTCCTGGAGCCAAGAACCAAGATTTTCCACAAGACTTTCTGTGCAATCTTGGTTCTTGGCTCAATACATTGGTTGTTAAGAAACATAGTTAATAGAACCTTTACTTGCAGAGGATGGGGAGGCCAGCAAATACAAAACCAACACAAAACACTGTAAAGCACGGTTCTCTCATGGAAAAGGTAAATACTGGTGGAGGGTACAAATTTAATTTAGGAACAATGTGCCGCAAACACTGAATTCCTCAGAAAAGAAATCAGAAATCCAAGGTTCGGGAAGTATGGAAAATACAAGTTCTGGAGGATATCCAAGTACAAAGAAAATGAAACATAAACTGCAATATGGTATTTAAGTTTTACATTTATTGCTTTCTTCGGAGAAGCTGAGCAACTACAATTGCAAATAGTTTTGACGTTCATACATTTGCATCTTTCGCTCATATACTCATATACAGTTTAAATCTACATTGTGTGTGTTTCTCAAAAGCTATACCAAACATGTGAACCAATAATGATTGATATAGCATATTGCTGTTCATGCTTTGTATTTGTTGTATTTATTCCCGCGAGCACCTGCGAAAGGCTCATCTCCGTAAGAACAGTTCCCAGCTTCGACTGTGTAACTATCATCGTTATCACCATCATCATGTTCATCATCATCACAGTTGCCATCACCATCATCATCATCATCACCATACAGGCGCACAGGTGCTGGTGATGCACCTGCAACGAGACACCGCAACTACATCTTTCTGATTCTTTTCTCTTATGGCGGCGGGGTGGCCCGGCCGATGCTCACGAAACGCAGCCCTCAGCAGAGATCGCGCGTGCCAAGTGCTCAAACGCGAGGTAAAATGCGAATTTGGCGCGATCTTCGTGAGCCATTTGCGGAGATCGCGCGTGCTTTGTCAGAAAGCGTGCAAACTGTCGTGACTGACGTCCGAAATCTTGGTGGAGTTGCCAAAGTGTGCAACTGTGGTTGCAAACATCAAAAATGAAGGTGCGACTTTGTAGTGCGAATGTAGCGCGGGGAAGTTGGCAACTTTATAGTGCAAGTGCAGCGGGACAGCAGTTGGCCTCAGAGCTCAGCTTCGGGAACTATACGTCAGAACTGACAACTTTGTAGTGGGGGATGCGCCCTCTGGGAACTTTGTTATCTTGTTGTGCAGTAGCTAGTCTGTGGCGCACTGTCTGGCAAAACTACGTCTGCGATGTCGCTGCGCCAGTCTCTTTTTTGGCGCGGCCTCGGTGGAAAGCGTGTTTTTGTGCCACTAGCAAACGAAAAACATGCGTGCGTAAAAACTGCGTGTCGCTGGGGTGGGACGATTCGCGTGTCAACGAGGCTTGGTGTTACATTGTTGTATCTAGTCAGTGGCACAACATGCGGCGAAATTACGTCTGTGATGTTGCTGCGCCATGCGGTTTTGCGCGGCCTCGGTGGGGAGTGCGTTTGAGAGGCTCCATGCCATTGGGGAACGTGAAACATGCGTACGCAAACGCTGCGTGTCGCGGGTGGGGGTCATAAGTGGCAGTTGTGCAATACAGTGCCGACAGTGTCCCACGGCAAGAATGTCCTTACAACTGGCTTGCGCATGTCAGGCAGGAGTGCTGTCACGCGAGTGCCCTACAATTGTGCCTTGCAAATGTGTTCCACACAGACCCTGCTAGAGTCTTGTCCCACAGGTATCTTGACATGATCTAGTGCCATTGTGATCGCCGCCAACATTTGCACCATGATCATCATGATCGCTGCCATCGTCAGCGTCATCACAGTTACTTTGTGTCATCTCCCGCTGTGCTGCCGGGCCACCCTGCCATCTAGGATTAGTATGATTTTAATGTTTCCACAAAAAAATCGTTTGAGGAACTCGTGTGTTTCAAACCTTGAACAGTTTGAGGTCCAACTTTTGGGAGCGCCTCGGGACGGCCAAGATAAAACACGATCGCGAGAGAGATCTTGAGCGTACACGCTTCAATCCAGGATGCTCGGACGAATTAGGTCACGGGGCGCTATGCTTTTGCAGAATGGTGTTATATAGTTGAATGTTCTTAATGATATGATTACAGTATGCAGGCAGGCACTGCTGATGGTAAGCCGATGCAGGTTCCATGGTTGTGGGCCAATGGATTCCTAATTCATTGTGATAGGGCCCACAGATTTCGACAAACAACAAATCACATCCTGCAATACAAACGAAAGATATTTGAAAATATGTTGGCTTGCAAGTCGTTGTGCAGCCAGCCGCCCAGGCAGCGCCTTGACAAAAAGGTGACGCCAGTATCGGGGGCTGCCTGGGTTGGATGGGTTTGGGATGGTTGTAGGTGTTGTCGTTGTGTCGCGTTGCGTTGGGTTGGAAATTAAGTTTTCATTGCAAAGCAGCCAGCAGGACATATTGGACAAACTCAATCCGGAGTTGCTGAACATTAAGGCGTGGACCATCAGTGAACACATTGCGCTTGGTGATATTTCTCTTGAGGACCACGAGCAGCGGCTAAGCGAAAGTGTCAACCAGTTGATGGATCGCATCCCGGGGTCTCTTGGAGTCGGTAAGCGCCAATTTTTCCTCCGTAGCGATGCCCTTTGCTCCTAGTAGCTTCTTGTCCCCAGTAGCAATGCCAGGAGCCCCTAGTAGCTTCTTGTTCCTAGTAGCGATGCCGTTTGCTCCTAGTAGCGTCCGTGTTCTCGATGCCAGGAGCCCCTAGTAGCGTCCTTGCTCCTAGAGTGTTTGCCTGTATGCAATTGCAAATGTAGACTTTCTGCAAGTTACTTTCTACAGTGGGGATCCGCTTGCGGCGGTTTTGCCCGTAGATGTTTGCCGTTTATACTTTGTTTCGAGGCGCAGGGTTGAGCCAGGTAAATGCACCGTATAGTTCTCTTCAGCATGTCCGCCTCGGGATGTTCTTGTCCCAATCTTCCAGGTATTTGAATTTCACAAGTGATCCCTTTGCCTGCTTTCGCCCTCGTTCTTTTGTGCATATTCTTTTTTCTTTGGCACTTGTCCCTTGCAGTCCTGCCTTGCATTTTGCTTGTCGGCTCCCCATTCCAGCTCTATGCTCTTTCAGCCCAGGCACTTGCAACGAAGTGGGGTGGTTTATGCGGGTACGGGTATTTGAGTTACGACTTCAAAATCGTAAAAAGGACACCAAATCAATATGTTGAAGCGAATTTATGAATTGCGGATAGTCAAGTTTACTCTTGAAATATATCGATTTACAAATTTTACCCTCCGACTCCATCCACATAAGGTTGGCCTCGTTTGCCAACCGTTGTGCTATGCACGCGCCATGCACGTGTGCGCCATTGCCGTGCCGCACCATGTGCCTTGCCGTGGGGAATGTCACGCACGACAAGTCAGGTTGGCCATTGGAGAGATGCAGGTCGCAAGGGCTGAGCGTGCGGGCGGTGGTATTGGCATAACGACAGTTCTATCCCATCAACAACTCAACCACTCTTAACAAAGCATGTGTGGCGACTATTCACTATTCCAGCAACATCATTCAGAACTGTTCCTTTCAGATGTTTCTGTTTCGTCATATTTGTGATGTCAAAAGTTTGACTGCGGTTCATGCATGTTTCCCAAAACTAACATGTCGATGGACCAATGTTTGGTGAAGAGGGTCGTTGATTTGCGGAATGTGTCGCTATGGCCGGGCCTGAATAATATAGGCCCCCTTGAAAGGGATGACCTCGTTGAATCATGCCCTCTTCGTGCATATAACGAAGTTCCAAGCGGTTCACGCGGGTGGCTTGACAGGTGCAGGAGGAGTGCCAAATTTTTCGTTCAGACATTGGAAAGCTGAGTGAGGAAATCTTGTGGCGACCCTAGCTGAGCAAGGACGCTGCTAGGGGCTCCTGGCATCGCTACTAGGAACAAGAAGCTACTAGGGGCTCCTGGCCTTACTGCTAGGAGCAAGGACGCTACTAGGAGCAAAGGAGCAAGGACGCTATTAAAACTCTTCGAGTCGACATAGAGGCTAACCTCATCCGCTGGGGTGATACCTGAATGAATGACCATGCTTGTCTTCTCCTAGGCGCATTGATGAATCGCTCCGGCACATCATGCCGTGGGTTGATTGGCTGCGCGACAACCAGTCCCCTGCCTTGACTGGACCCGAGATGCTGTGCTACTTCCTCCCGCAGCAGTTGGTAAGTGGTATGTCCGCAGATGACAGGAGGCCATTGCTAATAGGTCGGAGGCAATCGCGAGTAGGTTGGAGAACATGGCTATTAGGCTAAGTTTCCCCAAGAATCTAGGAACACTACTCGGGTGGGGGCCCTGGCCGACCTGAAGTGCACCTTATAATTCTTGTGGGCAGAGACCTGAAGGGGCGGAAAGCCTTCCTGAGGCCGGCGATGGATAGTTTGCAAACTTACGTTGAGGACTGGTTTGGGGGGTGATTGGGCCAAGTGTTTACGACTGCCGTGATGTCACATAGCAGTCCAGGTCATGGTGTGAATATTTGTGGACCTGGGAGGAGAGACTAGCAGCTTTGCTGCCAACTCATCATGTCGAGGACTTGGCCTGCGTTCAAACAAGTGCGCAAGTGTTCGTTCTGTTCTGAATGGCCTCCAACCTAATAGTAATAATAGCGTTCTGTTCCGAAGGCGCAACAAAAGCTAGCGCTGGCTATGTGCATTTGTTTGCGATTCTTCCCAGCTGCTCCACCAGAATTGCTCCATGCCTACCTTCCCTTTTGCTACATTGGTGCACCTCCAATTGCCTCTTTGGCCTTCTGTTGTGCCTCAGTCATTCCCATTATGATCGTTTGAAGTCTCTTTTTTTGAGTCTTTGCATAGATGTGACTTTGGCGTTCCTCTTTTTGGTTGAAGACTTAGCTTTTCTTTGGATAGAATTGCAAATCCCAGCAGCATACCCGAAACTGGGTTGAGTGCGGTGGCAGTAGTTGGTGATCGCGTTTTCCAAAAGCCAACTTCAAGTCCGAAGACGGTATGGCCGGTATGGCACCACAACGAGCGAGCGTGCGCACTAAACAGTCAACTCCACACGCCACAAATGCTGCGGCCCTCGGCAAGGGTTGTGCACTTCCATGGGTCTAGAGGGAAGTAGTTAGCTTCTTGTTACTACTAGTAAGGCACCTGTTACTACTAGCGTGGCACTTGTTACTAGTAGCTTTTTGCTTCTAATAGCAAAATTGTTACTACTAGTATGGCACTTGTTACTAGAAGCGATGCACTTGTTACTAGTAGCCACCAACCGAACCCTGGAACAGACCGGTCCATACACCTGCAAAAGCCGTCTTAGTGTTAATCACTGTCGGTAGCAACAGTCAACAGGATCCCACTGATACGGTGCAAATACGGAGAAGGAGTGAAACTACCAAGAGCTGGAGAAGCATGCGTGTCTAGGATGATGAACAAACCCTCCATGGGCCCAAGTTTTTTAAAGGAACGCTACAAACTACTTCACAATATTATGATTATCATGCTCATCCATGAAGCCGCTGTGGCTCACATTTGCCTCACTTGCCGCACTGGACTTGAGGCAAAAATTGTCGCCACGCATCATTGACGCAGCACATGCACGATGTTCCATCATTTGTCTTCGTCTCTGCAAATCTCTGCAAGGCATTTTTGAGTTAGACATATTTAGACCAGGGTTGTTAGTGCTGCAGTTTTGGGATGATTTGGGAACACTTTTGCAGTGTAATTTTTCAATGTTTTTTTGGCCTGGGTATCATCAATCTCCGCCTTTCTTGCCAAAGATGTGAGGGGACAGGCCGTTTGTACAAATTTTCTTTGTTTGTTTCTCGCCCTTCAGCCACTCTTGTGGGCCTCTCCTTCCTGCAGTGTTCTGTGTCTCCAGATTCTCAGTTTGCCCCCCGGCTGCGCCAGCCTTCCGTTCCAACTGTGGACTCACAACCCCCTCTTTGGCAACTCGCACAGGAGTTTCAAATCTTGGCAACTCGCCTGGGCCGCTGGGAGGAACAGCAGCTCGACCGTCTGTTTAGCAAAAGAGATCCCACGAACCGACAGCATTCATACTAGTAGCTTCCTTGCTCCTAGTATGCCCTTTGTTCCTAGTAGTTTCTTGATATATCTTGTTATATAGTAGCAGTAGTAGTAGTCGTCGTCGTCGTAGTCGTAGTAGTCGTGGTGGTGGTAGTAGTAGTAGTAGTAAGGCCAGGTACCAGGAGCCCCTAGTAGCGTCCTTGCTCCTAGTAGTTGCTTGTGCAGTTGAATTTGCTTCAGATGTCCAAGTATCACTCAGCTACGGGCCCATATCTATATTTCTGAGGCAAAGATGTGCCAACGAGTTGCACAACTCGTGGGGGAAGCTGGCCGAGGAGACCTGCTAGTGTAGTGGGCAAGTACAAGGATGTCCTGGTAGGGCCCTACTCATCTACAACTGCGAGTGGTGACAGCGGTCATGTCAATCTAGTCACTCGAACTTTGGGCGTGGAGTCATATTTTCAAGCTTTCCAATTGCCAAGAGCAACACCGCTAACCACTCAGAGGCTGCCCCAGCTGGGACCCCAAGCGTCCACAACGATTCCAGCATTGTGGGGATAGCAAACAATGCCTTGAAGAAGTGCTCGACCGCATCCCAGTCCATCAAGCGATGGCCTCCAACCTAAGAGCGATGACCCTAGTAGCGTCCTTGCTCCTAGTAGCGATGCCAGGAGCCCCTAGTAGCGTTCTTGTTCCTAGTAGTAAGGGCAGGAGCTCCTAGTAGCATCCTTGTTACTATTCAGAAGATTTCAGAAATTGACACTTTATTGTGCCGCTGGCTACGACGCATGGTGCGCCAAAGAAGGCTGCCTACAGCTAGCACAAAATATGACCACAGGGCTTTTTCAACCACAGCGCTGCCAGACTCTGCTCTTTGCCCGCGTGCGTTTGTCCGATTACCATCGAACCATTTGTCCGGGCATCTGCCAAGCCTAACATCGCTGATCAACTCTTGTTCCTAGTAAGGCCAGGAGCTCCTAGTAGCGTCCTTGCCCAACAAAAAGCTGGCTGATCAACTCTTGCATTTCGGGCGGGCTGCCCGGAAGGTCCGCACGAGATTTGTCCTTCACACGACGGCTGATGTTAGAAGAAGGGAAAAGTGACTACTGAGCACCGTAGTGGTCTAACAGTAAGCCTTATTTATTTAAGCTTGGAGCCTCTTGCCTGGGCAGGTAGTGGCAGGAATTAAGGGGAATCTAGGTCTCCAGTGATATGTCTCATCATTCTGGTTTCAATCCCTGCTAGCGACTCGAACCTAGGACCTAGTAGTGATGGTCTCCAACCTACTAGCGATGGCCTCCAGCCTTGCAAAGTGGAAAGTTTCTAGGAGGACCTATTCGCATCAACATTTGATTCGCCAGAGGGACGCCCCGTCAGTAGTTGGAATTCTTGCTGTGAGTTATACTTCCACAGGGTATCCACCCCACATGTAACTCCGTTCGCCTACGTTGATATTGGGCCTTTATGCATTACGAACGCGACACCTTTGAAGCCACCATTGACTTGAAGTCATGGGCTTGGGGCACTAGTCCTAAATTTTGTCTTACTTCTGGACCTGATTTCCAATTGTAGAGATTTAGGATGCGTCATACAGCATTCACACTCTCAAAGTGAAAATAGACACTGGCCTAGCCGGATGCCACAGATCGCAATGCCTACGACTTTGTTCACCAACCACAGGCAAGTTTCCCCGGGCAAGCATCTGGCCAGCAACATTCTATGGTGCAGACGCTGGACAAAAAGCTTCCAGCGGTATACTAAGCTAGGACGATCAGCGACAGACACTCTGCTAGGAAACCACCAACATGCACCCTCCCCAGTTGTGGTCCAATTTCCCACAAAAGTCTCAGTCCACCTGCTCCTCTATGACTATGTCCTTCTCCAAAGTTTTTCTGCACTTGGAGGGATCTTTGAACATGACGCACAACAAGCAAATCAATCGGTCCATAAGGCTGTTTCTTTCCGCAGCAGGGTAGAGGGTCCAGGATTCTGTGTCAACTTAGCTTAGGGACTGAAGAGATCAAAAGAAGAAAGCACCGGATTGGACAGGTCAATGGGTCAAAGATCGAAAAAGAGCTGATCTGAGCTGAAGACCTACAGTAGCCTCTGATAATTTCAAAACGGTCAGTTCATACTGACTCAAAGTGTTTCTTTTGGGAACCAGACGCTCAACCACCCCGACAACTTTTCTAAGTAAGAACAACCTATTTCTCACAGACCAACCTAAAACAGTGCACTTCCTGTTGCCGGCACGGGCATTCCAACGAAACCTCCCACAAGTGCCCAGTAATCTAACTGCTCAACCAGAGATGCCTGTATTTACGGGTGGTTGTGTGCTGTGGCAGCAGACGTAAATAGCCGCAGAGCAGTAGGAGCGGTAGTAGTGTTCCAAACATCATTGGGCCATGAACCAGTCGATGATGCTTTTGCAACAATTGCAGCTGCACACAAACTTCTGACCTTGGGTTATCATCCCAACGTTAGCCGCCAAGTTCCCACAAAGCATCCATATAGACTCCGGTAGCATGTGCACACGGCATCGAAACAGTGGGCTTCTAGCATGAGCTGAGCAAAGACGTGTGCATTTGGATCTCATCAACAAAGCCGTGCAGGCAGGAAGCGAACAGGATGATGAGAGGTTCAAGATCCATGCCAGACCTGAAGCAATTTAGCAAACAGAGCTGTGGTGGAGGGTAATCTTCAAGAAGATGCTGACTTTGACAATCTAGTAACTCAGACCGAACCACATCGTGCCAGAAAAGGGTCGTATCCAAAAAATTGCAGTACCTTATATTACAATTGAAGAGACAGAAGGCTGAAATTGCATTTAAGACAAGATGATACAAGACTTCAGTACCAGTGGAAAGTTTTGGACCTATGAAAACGATTTACCACGTACGGCAAGATGGATTGTTGCTATCGCTGATCCTTTTCCGGATTTGGTCTTTTTCATTACCCAAACGGCAAAACAGTTTTTACGCTCGATGCATCCTTGGAGTCTAAGTTCTCTGCTGCACGAGGCAGGGGTTTTTAAGTTTCCAGGTTTGAAGGAGCAAAGGGCATCTCTACTAGGAGCAAGGGCACTGCTAGTAGCTCCTGGCCTTACTACTAGTAACAAGAAGCTACTAGGAACAAGGGCATCGCCATTACTAGCTAATTGATAAGACATCGAAGACCTTCATTTTTTCAAGACTTGCCAGGACTTCAAGGCTCAGAGCCGTCGGCTCTTAGGTTTCGAAGTTCAACAGTGAGGGGCCAAGTCGGCCAAGTCGCGTGCCCAAACTTTGAGAAAACCTCGCGCATGTTGGCATTTTGAGGCGAACATATCTACAGCAATGTGAGGACTTTAGGGCTTGGCGTCAGGACTGAAAGCATCCGATCTCAGACGAACTACCGAGAACGTGCTTCAAGCACTGGCCCCATTGTGGTTAACTGTTGCCTTAAGCCTTATGTTCTTTTTCTCCCGCAGGAACTTGATGCTGTGCGAGTTCGCTTGAAGCGGATTGAAGTGAACCAAGTTCAAGAGTTCCCCAGATGAAGTGTGTGCACTTTCGTTGGCCAATCCGGACTGAACAACAAATACTGGCGCACTATGGCGCACTCATATTGCCGCTGTTGATATTTCTATGTATTGACACTGTATTGATGTGCTTTAATCTGGCTTTGTTTTGTGTTTGTTCTCAGCCGAGGCAAAAGAATCAGAAGGTTTGGCAGGAGAACTTCTCAAAATGCCGGAAGGCCTGTGAGGATATCTATGCCAAGTGTCATCAGGACCTGCCCCCTTCTCCCCATGTGGAGGCGCTCCACTTGGATTCGGTGAGACGATTTGTTTGGAGCCCTCAGGGCCTAAGTCGAAGGACTCAGGATGATTCTTTCAACCGGCCTTGAACACGCAAACCCGCAACATCGTTTCTTGGAACGATTGGATTGACAGTCTAAATGGATCAACATCCACAAGGAAACCTGGACGGCGACTTGACAAAAGCTGACCCTTCTCAAGGTAGGCCATCGGTTGAATGGTCGAATGACCGTTCTTTGTGTTGCACTTCGCCCAGCAAAGATGCAGGAGATGGAGCGTCGAAGCCAGCAAAGCAGTGAAGAGTTGGGAACTCACAGATGCCGTTTGGGAAGTTTGCATGTGGAGAGGTTTGGTGTATTTTGGATTTGGCTTGTGGTGGTGTCACTGCAGATTGTGTCACCACGAAGCAAGGCATCGATACATGAAGGACTGCGAAGATCAATATAGCAAGTGGCGCGAAAGTGCAGTGTGCGACTCAGACAGAAATTGCCACTTAAGGGTCGACTGCTTGACTATGACCGAGGTTGCATGGCAGCAGCAACAAATGCGAAGATTGGGACAATGAAGTAGAATGAGCTGGCACATTGATTCTGGCTAATGTCCATGGCCCACGGAAATGGGTTGAAAGCATCGGACATCCCTTGGCATCGTCAGTCCCAAGGATTTGTACGGGCTCCAGATGTTGTAGGGTTGGCGAGACCCAACCAGAATGACATTCCTTTCTTCGTGCCCAACCAGAATGGACAGAGGACGCTACTAGGAACAAAGGGCATCGCTACGAACGGAGCAAGGACGCTACTAGCTCCTGGCCTTACTACTAGTAACAAGAAGCTACTAGGAACAAGGAGCAAAAACGTTACTAGGAGCTTTTTCGCGCCTGCCAGGGATCCGGAGGCCTTGCCCCGTGGGCCCTATGCTAATGCAGCTGTATGCTGTTAATGAAAGCTCGCCCACGCAAGCTGCAGCTAATCTACGCTGCGCATGTGTGGCAAGGTTGCTTATGGAGAAATGGTGTGCTTTGTTCATCTTCTTTATGACCATAAACCCAAACAATCAATGCTTGGAAAAGGAGTCAAGTCCAATCGAAAGTTCGGCAGCGAAATGGAGCAATGAGCAGAATGGACAGTCGATTTCCTGTGGTCCGTTTTACCTGGGGTATTCTGATTATTTTGTTCCGTCTCGGATGTACTGTAGAGATCGTTGACGCTGTTCATTCGTCTTGTTTTATCCTTCATCTCTTCGACCACTCGAATCAACGAGTCCATCTCCCATGTGAGGCCTGCAAGGAAGCCTGCCCAGCTCCAGAGGCTTCGCCTCGCACCTCCTTTGATCCAAGAGTCGTGTGTTTGCCTAAGACAACAAGGGAAAGCAAGGAGGAAAGGAAAAAAAACAAGAACGAACACCTACTAGCGATGGCCTCCAACCTAAAAGCGATAAATGAAAAGAATCCGTGTGCCATGTCAGTCCGTGCGCTGTGCACATATGCGTGGGAGCGTTCCGTGGTGCGTGCGGTGCCCGTGCGAAGTGACACCTTGGAAATCACAGAAAACAAATGACTCATAAAATTACTCATGCGCACTTTCCTCAAGGTCTTTGCTACTGCTTTGCGCCTGAAGTGCATAAACCCCATGACATGCAAACACAGCCAAGCCGAGTAACCAACTTGCTCTCGGTGCGTGCGTACTACTTCTTTTGTGTCGGCCAAGCTCTTCGTCAATGCTGCTTGTTCGACTTCATTGGGCCAATTGGGTTCAAGCCGGTGCAAGCCGCAATTTAGCACTTGGTCAAACATATTAATTAATTAACTTCAGGTGGGCCAGGCAAGTGTATTGTTTTTTTCAGTAATTCTCTCGATTGTGTTGCTCTTCCCAGATTCCCAGACACTTGCCACAGATTTGAGAGATGATAAGAAAGATCCGCAATGTTGCCAAGCAAACCATAGGCTTTCACGGATTTAGCGTCGGATGAGATGGGGGAATGCATGGAGCAAAAACATGCTGTGGCGTTGCAGCAGCGGCGCAACCTGCAGAAATCCCTGTGGGAATTGCAGTGTGATGGCCCCGCCTGGGCCTCGGGATCTCAAACGCAGTGCCTGTTTTGCAGTTGCACGGCGCTGCACACCTACCGATTCCGTACGGAGATTTCTCCGATTCAACCTTCCTAATAGCAATGGCTCCGACCTAATCGCCATGGCCTCCAACCTAATAGCAATGGCCTCCAACCTACTAGCAATGGCCTCCAACCTACTAGCAATGGCCTCCAACCTACTAGCAATGGCCTCCAACCTAATAGCGATGGCCTCCAACCTAATCGCCATGGCCTCCAACCTAATAGCGATGGCCTCCAACCTAATCGCCATGGCCTCCAACATCCTCCAACCTAATATCGATGGCCTCCAACCTGGTAGCGATACTTATTCTCAATATTTATGAATCATGTGTGTGGCCAAGGGCAATGGCATCATCGTCCAACATGTCTGGGCTTAACAACGATGGAACCTGGTAGGGTTTTGAGAGTGCATGAGGTCGTGGGCATCATCTATGCAAAGGAGGCCTTCTCTACCTAGTGGAATGTGTCAGATTCATGGGCGAGAGTAAACTGAGCACACTAATTCTAGTGACTTTAGGGGTCTCCGTTGAGTCGCCCCAGTCGATTGCGCTTTATTCCACCCCAATTGGATGCTTTTGGAATTTTGTGTAATGCTAAAATTTGCCATTGCTATTGACAGAGAAAAACGAAAAGGAAAAAAGGTCCTCTTCGGTCGACCGCCTGTCTCCCGTCGAGGCCGATGCGATCGTCACCTGCACGGCTCAACAGCTGGCGGTGTGGGATGCGAAGAGCCACGAACGACAGCGTGGCGTCCGTGGAAAAGGCTTTTGGCAGGCAAGGTGCACATGAGCTGCACATGCAAATCTCACCTTCAGCGATCGTAATCTTGTTACTACCCAGCGATGGCCTCCAACCTAGTAGCATTCTTGAAAGATTGTCAAAAGGAAGGTTAAAGAGACTGGTGGAGCCTAATCTTGATTTTGTTTGTTTGTCATTGACTGTTGGGCCACAGTCTGACCAAGGCTTTGACCTACGCATCCCACTCGCAGTCTGCCATCATGGGCGGCCGCGACGGCACTGTGGTGGTCTGGGACATTTGCACCGGTGAGGCCAAGCAAGAGCTTTGTGCAGCCCTGAGCATTGCACTGACAGGTAGCATGACAGGCTTCAGGTTGGGTTTGAGTTACTAGTTACTAGTTACTAGTACTAGTAGCGTCCATGTTACGTTCGTAGCGTCCCGAATGCTACTAGCAGCAATGCCCTTGTTACTAGTAGCGATGCCCTTTGCTACTAGTGGCGTCCCTTGTTACTAGGTAGCTCATAGTGCAAGATTGCTCAACCTGGGCACATCCAGGTTGTGGCAGTGCCATATCTTCGTTGGACTATGCAGAGTCCTTGAAGGCCCGGCAATTTGTTCCGCGCGCAACCTGGAGTCTTTGAGGAACCTTCAAGCCTCAAACAACTCTTTCTCCTATTTAATGCCTCACACAACTCCCTCCTTCTTCTTCATATTGAGTTAATCTTATTTTGTCTGCTAGTCACGATTCGCCACTCGAGCACGACTAGCGGCGAGTGGCACGTGAGGCGGTCTTCTCTGGTGAAGAGAATGGCACCGTCATCCTTTGGGACCTTTGTCGAGGTCTTCAGCTTTCAGTGGTTTGGTGTGATGCCGCAGTGTCTTCGGCCAAAACCCTCCGTTTTCTAAGCTCATGTTCGGTCGTGTGGAGTCTATATTCCATAAGCTTGAGGATAGTTTTATCACGTTTGTATCATCACAATGCTTCATGATGGCATCAGCATTCTTTTCCGCGCTGGTGCTGAGGTGAATTGCCTCGCCTATTGGTTCATCGCGCCGTATATTCGGGACATCCCGCACCTGCACAACGGTGAGATGATGCAGAAGCTCATCCCAGCCACTCCACGCGGCACTATGGGAAGAACCTTCCTCACGGGGGATACAGCTTTTAAGGCGCGCTGGGGAAGATTCGTTTTGAAAGTTTTGCTTCGTTGGCCGTCGCAATTGAACACCGTGCGTTTTACAAAACACGGAGTGACCAGTAAATGTCGAAGAGATGGGCATGGGATCAAGAGATGAACTGTGGCGACGCGAGGTGAAAGTCTGGGACATTGAGACGGGCATTGCAAAGAAGGTCTTTCATTGCCACAGCCATGTTCTGGTGCTAGCCGTTTCGCCCTTCTTGGGTCTCATTGCTGCCGGGGAGGCGCCCTTCACTTTCTTCATTGTGCAGAAACTTCAGAGTGAGTAGATCCTTTGTTCCTAGTAGCCTCTTGCTCCTAGCAGTAAGGCCAAAAGCCCCTAGTAGCGTCTTTGCTCCTAGTAGCGATGCCAGGAGCCCCTGTTAGCCTCAAGTAGATTGCTTTGATACCGATCCTGTTAGTCGCACGCGTGAGGCCAATGGCCGGGTCACTCTTTGGGATGCCGAGGTTGAGAGCCTAGGCGAATATCGTACGGGCGAATGTTGAAGAGAGTATGACGTAGTCAGAATAGAAGGAAAGAAGGAGCAAGAACGCTACTAGGGGCTCCTGGCCTTGCTACTAGGGGCTCATGGCCTTACTACTAGGAGCAAGGACGCTACTAGTAGCCCAGAATAGAAAGAAAGAAGGTAAGGCCCCTCACACCTGACCACAACATATGAGACGTATGAGGATTCTTGGTTTACACCTTGGCTTCTTGGAGGCCATCCTAATAGGTTGGAGGCAATTGGAGGCCATCGCTCTTAGGTTGGAGCCATCGCTATTGGTAACTCGAAATGACTCAAAAGTATATTATATTACACACACATATATATATATATATTATATAGAGAGAGATTGTTTAGAATTCTGCTTAATGATATGCACCGCGGAGAAGGATCTTCTTCTAAAGGTTTTGGGTGACGTGTTCTAGAAGAAGATCTCGCCTTGGTGCCGGCCGGGGTCGCCTACTAGATTGAATGGAAGATGCCCTCTTCAAGTCTGTGCGCCATTTTGATGCACCAATTCCATCCCAGTTCACACAATCCTTGCTGGTTTGGCCCAATTCAAGGTTGAAACCCTGTGAATCGCACCGGCCTTGCGACAGCAAGGGCAAGCAAGTGAAGTGAGCAACAAGCTGTGACCCTAGTAGCGTTCTTGTTACTAGTAGTAAGGCCAGGAGCCCTAGCAGCGTCCTTGCTCCTAGTAGCGATGCCAGGAGCCCCTAGTAGCGTTCTTCCTTCACAAAAAGATACACAAAGCAAGATTGCATGATGTCACATGATGTGAGGACAGTTCTTCATCGCTTCGAGGGTGGCGCTTTGCGGTCTTTGAACTTCGCCCAAGTGGAGGACATCCATTTCCTCATTTGTGCCGTCCCTTGGTTAATTTTGATATGCGAAAAAAGAGAGGAATGCGGAATGGGTTTGGGCCGGCCTCTTAAGTAAGCCCGTTTAAAGGGGGCTCAATCAAAGAGTCAGAGTCCGGCCCCTTTCTTCTCTCATCTCGTTTGTTTGAACACATGTTCAATGCTCTCGAACATGTTAACATTGATTGCTCGGCTGCATGGCTGGGAATTTACCCGGGTGTCCGCCGAAAAGATGACCATTGAACAACGCACTGCAGAGTTCCGTGGGTTTGATTCCAGGAGAACTCACGTCAAGCATACTCTTCACCGCTGTATGTCGGAGCAAGATGAATCTAACTCTAACATCACAGCCCACGCCTACGCCTTGCTATGCTGCAGGTCGACTCAACATGACTATCCTTCATAGGCATTAGGCTTGTAATTGCACAACTTCAAATGCTATCAAATGCTTGGAGGCCATCGCTCTTGGGTTTTCTTAGCTTTGAGGCCATCGCTTGGAAGGAATTTGACGCTCTTTCTTTCCGCTCTTCACTTCTCAGGAATCAATGCGGCTCGTGTCCTGGGACATCGACACGGGTCAATTTCGGCCCCTCGACATCTTGGGCTCCACGAAAAGCAAAGGAGTGAAGACTGTGAAGACCATTTTCATCCATTTTCTATTTTTGCATGTTGAGGTTCACAACAAATCGGGACACAACAAAACACATTCTCATTTTTCCTGTCTAGCCTGCTGCTAAGGTCCCATAATCTAAAGCAGCCTTCCTGCTGCAGCTGTGCAATGTCCCTTTGTATTCTGCCGGCGGTGGAGGAGTGGAAAATCGACCACGAAAGATTTTTGTGCTTTTGGTTTGTTGTATGCGTACTAGGCGCAAGGACGCTACTAGGGGTTTGTTGTATGCGGTGCCGGGAACCCTTGAGCTCGGGAAGCTGAACCCTTGAACCGGGACTGGCAGAGCCTCTTCCTCACCTCTTCCTCCTTCGCTGGAACCCTTGAGTGCTTGAAGAGTGGACAGGCTTCCCAACGCCAAGAGCACAACCTGATTCTCCCATCAGCTCTTTGTGCTAGGGGTTTCAACATGTTTCAACCAACAGACTGATTCTTAGGCAGATATTTCTGGTAACATTTGTGGTTGCGAGGTTGATATTGAAAGACATGTTCCTTAGGCAGAAAAATATCCAATGTGCCAATCAGGAGGGCGCTGAATCTCCTGATGTGCTGCTGGTGGGTGACAGTGCAGGCCTTGTGCGCGCCTTGCGGCTGGAGGCGTTGCATGCAACACGTGGTCATGATGGGCCCCGCAGTGGGGATGGCATTCGGCTGCGGAGCTCCTTGAGAAGCTGATGCGAGTTGATGCGAGCGGAAGGTGCTGGAGCTTTGGAGTGGCAAACGTAGACAGGACAGGACGAAAGTTTTCAAATGTTTTCAATCCAATTTGTTAAGCAAGCAGAAAGAATTACACAGACAAGCTAAAAAGTTGTAACTTTAGTTAATTACATGTACACATAATTACACATTGTATGAAGGTGTTAGTCGGGTATGTATCACGCGATGTCATGGTTTGTGGATTTGCCTGACGCCAAATCTCGAGTAACTCGAGTACTCAAAAATTGGTGAAGAAAGACAATCGTAGTCAGACAAGACATGAGCAAATTGTGATTCAAGGGATTGTAGACTTCCATGCCCTTCATTTAATTGGTGATACTGTTTCGGGTAATGATCAAGTTTTGAAGAGTGTGGGAGTTTGACTTAGCAATGCAACGGCTTCGTTCTTGTTTGTTACGAAACGAGACACAGGTTCAACAAGAAAGAGTTCGCTTCTCGATCCGGTCGAAGCAAAAAGAGCACACCGACTTCACGGCAGATCTCGACCGGACCTTTGGTCGGATTGTTCATAGCCTCCGCCTCTTTGGCATCGGTGCCCAACGTTGGCATCTGAAAATCAATGTCCCAATCAACCTCGAAGAGCGGGGAGAGAAAAGGGTGGTGCAGGCTTGATGGGGAACGGGTTGTACTGAGTTGCACTAATGTAGTATGTATATAACAGTTTCTTCCATGTGCCATGTGCTGTTGGCAGCTGAGTTTACGCTTAGCACTGATCGCTGCAAGGTCTTGAAATGAAAGATGAAAGACACCCTTGAGCCGAGGGAAATTTGTACTAAGAAGAAATGTGGAAAAAACCCTTCAACGCAATGCAAATACAAGCGTATATGATATATGTAATGCCGTAACGTATACTAATTTTGGTTTCAGACCTTCCAAGCCATCTTCTTTCAGCCCCAGAAGTGGGTCACTGCGTCACCGAGTGAACGCTATAAGCAGAGACGTTTCATGCGCTGCCCCATGCCTGTTTTGCAGGATCCGGAAAAGCGTGTTCGCCTCTTCTCCGAGCATTGGTGCGTCTGGCATGGGTTGGACGGTTGGACGGTTGGAAGACATGGTCGTAGGTCAATGGGCGTGTGGTTTAGGCAGCCCTTGTGACATTGGGTGGGTATGCCTTGTCAAAAGAGTAGCATGCTTAAATGCTTATAATACTCAACACTCCATTTTGATGTGTTTTAGCTTTTCGGTGTTGAATGTCTTCGCAGCAGCCAACTTCTTAGGTCGCGGGTGTCCAGCAAAACCATCAGCAATCCCCAGCGTGTGGAGGCGCAAACATACATAGTTGACGATGGTAAATCACGCATACGCCAGATCTTATCCTGCCATTGTTCCGGGCAAGCAGACTATCAGCATCAGTACACCTGCTGAACTTGACTGCCCCGTACTGTCACATACAATGTAACAAGAGCCTTTGGTGGCTACTAGTAACAAAAAGCTACTAGGAGCTCCTGGCCTTCTTACTCACGAACAATGTTCGCTACTAGGGGCTTTTGGTGGCCTGTTACTCTTGACTCATCTTGGCTCAGGTGGTGCGGCTGCCTGGTTCTCATGGCTGTGGCAATATCAGCAGGCTCGAGAGACAGCGCTTCTTTTTCACAATGATATGGCATGATAGAGAAGGCTCTGAATAGGTTACTGTTGCTTTAGTACTTTAAGGGGCCAATTATTTGAGGTCAGGAGCACGGAAGCCACATTCGGCTCAGAAGGGCCCGGGTTCAGCACGGAAACGACCACTTCCTTGAACCCTTCACACACTCGAAACAGTTCCAGTTTGCAACACATCCCTTGCAGGCTGCTTCCTGTCTTACATTGAAGTCCCACTTTTGAGGCCGCTTCCTGTCTTCCCTGCTGGCCTACTGCAAATGCGTGAGATGGGGGACCTGGGTTTCAACTGCGGGAGATGGCTCGTGGCAAGTCGATCGTTTTTGAAGATCGTTCTGCGACTGTGGAGCTCATAAATTAGAGAAGAGCACAATTAAAAACACATTGAGGTTGCTGAGTGGCTGCCAATGCTTTCTTTTGCTTGTCTTGATCAGTCACGTTGACCACAGGTGGGCAAAATTCGGCAAACAGGCTACTAGGAGCAAGGACGCTACTAGGAGCTCCTGGCATCGCTACTGGGAGTAAGCATGCTACTAGGGGCTCCTGGCCGTATTACTAGGAACAAGAAGCTACTAGGAGCTTTTCCTGAGGCTTCTGCCAAAGCTCTTCAGCGGACATTGCGACATGGGTGAGGTCCAGGACAGTCCTCAGGGCGGAGGCTGTAGCGTGTCCTTGCGACATGAGCTATCCTGCATCCTAGCAGCTAGTTAGTAAGGTTACTAGTGCCCCCTACCCTTACTCAAGTAAGTAGCCGCCTACTTAGCTTTATAAATAAAAGCAGGCAAGCATAAAAACCAAAGAGGGACAGGGAGGTGGCAACCTTGAAGGCCTCTTGTTTTCAGTCACACACAAACCACGCCGCAAGGATTTTCCGGGAGGGACGGTCTTGAGTGTCATGGCGGTGTGGGCAATCATTTGTGGTCAATCCACGGACTGGGTCACTACTAGCGATGACCTCCAACCTTAAGAGCGGTGGCCTCCAACCTCCTAGCGATGGCCTCCAATCCAAGGACTGGGCTCACAAGACCAACTTCATTCTGATAGACCTCAGCATTGGCCAGGCCATGAGAGGGACATTCAGTGAGGTTCCCTGCGAACTTTGTGACCCAAGTGCTGAATACATGTGCTTCTCTGATCTTCATCGCGCAAATGAGATTCGGGTGTTAGGAGGCCTCACCGCATGCTTTCTTGAGAGAAAGTTAAGTGACCTTGAGGGGACATCATCAATGTTCTTCGTGGAGCCTGCCTGCCCAGTAGTCCAGTAGCAGTGCGTTTAGGTGGGTTCCTAGGCTTGACTATGGAAAAGAATGCTCGTGCCATCAAGTGAAGGAGACAAGCTGTTCAATGAAGCGTCTTTAGAAGACTGAATTCTCTTTCGCACTTGCCTTGGGCCAGTTCCAGAATGACAACAATGCTGAAGCTAAATGGTTCAGTGGTTCAACGCCATATACTGCCTTGGTCTTGAAAGACTTATAGGTCTTGAAGAGTCAGTCTAGAAAGACATGGTTTGAGATGGACCTCCATTCTTGCAGGCCCTGCTGGTCGGCACCGGCGTAGAGCTTGTTACACCTGCTTGAAGCTCAGAACTACAGGAAGATAAGAAAGTCAGGTTTTCTCCAAACTGGGTGCCCGGGTGCCCTGTAAAACCAGAAACAGATGGCCTCCAAAACCAAAACCTAATAACATCAATAACTACTGTAGTATGTTTCTTAAATGCCCTTTTTCGTGCATGCGTTCTCAGCATGCAACATAGTCAGGTGAGGGCTCCAGTAAAGGGTACACAACTATATATATGATACTTGTCTCACGCCCAAATACTAATTGTATCATCAAAATAGAGTTTGAATCCCTTGCATGGGTTAACTGATCTTGCTGGTGAGTGAATGTAGAGTCACCATTCTAGCTGCACCCAAGCAGCTTTATAGGACTCCTCCTTGGGGAGCTTCAAGGACGACGGGTCCAACGAGGTGCAAAGCGGCATCGTATGCTCACTGTCCCAGCCTGTGGAGCGGTGAGGATGCACGAGAGAACATCGTAATATAGCCGGTACAGCTATGCAGCTGTCACACATAGCACGTCTAATGCATAGCACGTCTATGATGCGACGTACAAAAATCACGTGAAAGTGGTCAGTGAGACCTCCGCCTTCTTGCCACTCCGGCTCAATAGCAAATGTTGCCGCTCAAGCCACAGCCTCAAGGCCTGGTATCATAGCAAGATGCTGTCAGCAACTCCTTGAGGGCTTCGTAGCTCAGCTCGTAATTGAAAGTCCAGCTTCGTGTGCATTGTGCAGCTTGTTCGGAGAAACATCGAACCTGCATTTGGGCTCAAGCATTTGCCTTGGCCAGTTCTGAGGTGAACTAAAACATCGTTGACATGATTACCTGGAAGGAAAAGCCTCGGCGGTTTGTGGAGCCCCCCTTGGTGACCCACATTGAATGCACGGGCTTCAGCCAGGCCATCGCGAAGGAAAGGAAGGCGGCCAAAATTGAAAGTGATGCCGCAGCTGAGCGATTTGGGCCTGAAACGATGGCACGCCCCAACGGGTATTTAACATTCTTCAAGAAGGACACAGGAAGTGCCTCCAAGGAACCGCGATTCACATATGATGCCGTGAAGGATGATTCGACCTATGATCCCTGTACTCCACGTGATACATGCCATCCTCTTCATACAGCCTCCGCTCGCAAAGCATGCAAAGTGTCCTTGGCGACACGCTGGCAGCTTCGCAGCTCACAGGCTTATGGCTGGCTCCCTCCAATCGATGAGCCATCCTTCGGTTATGGTCGAAGTGCTATCTTCCTTGACAGCTCCATGGACAAATCTCATCTGCAAATCGGGGGTCCCTGGACAGCACGCTAAGCGTTCCTGTTCAAGTCAAGTTTCATCCGATGATGGATGGATTCATAGAAGAGCTATGAATCGTTCAATTTTACCTTCCTTGGCACAAGAAAAAGCTGGGATTGATTTGGAAAGACGTACCTGGTTGCAATGCCACAAGCCAAAGCGAGACCTTTTTGTTTGACGCCTTGAAGGCCCCACCACACAAAAAAAAAACTCTAGGTAAGACTCGGACACCGAAAGAAAACGCCACGATGCCGAAAGAACTGAAACCAAAGGACGGAACGCCGATCGCTACTAGGAGCAAAGGGCATCGCAACTAGGGGCTCCTGGCCCTACTACTAGGAACAATGTTTGCTATTAGAAACCAAAAAGAAAGAAAAAATTAATCAACATGGAATTAAGTGTCATTAGAATTGCTCATTTCTATCCCGGTCAGGCGCGCGGGAAGCGAGCACCGGTGTGGTCCAGCGGCGTGGATGCACAGTCAAGACCTTAGACGGAGGAGGTGGAGGAAAAGCTGTTTCGTTGTGCTGGGCTGGGAATTGTGAACGATTCCGAAGGAAGCTTTTAGTATTTTGCTCGATTCCTAGGATCCGGCCTGCGTTCTGCTTTTCTTCGGCCATGTGGCAGTCTTTTGGTTCCTCGCAGTGCAGGCCGTTCAGACAGGCTAGACTCGGCTTTGATTATCCATTTTTACCAAGCCGTTTCAGAAGCGTAGCGTAGAAATCATGAAAGTATATAAAACAGTTGCAGTTGGATTTTCTATTTTTGAAAGGCGCTGACCACTGGTGCTTGACATTGCACCATATGTAACGGCGGTCTGTGCGTGGTTTTGCCGCTTTGCCTTACACAGGTGATGTCCAGCGACTCTACTTGCCTCGTGATTTCAGGGGCATATACTGCGGACTTCCAGGCTCCGCTTGCTCCGCTTTGCTCACCCGGCGCGCGTCGTTCTGTTGGTGCGAGGACAGATGAATATGACATCCTATCCAAACTTGGCCTTCGCGATGAACGCAGGGGAACCTTGTTCTTAACGTGTGGAGCTCTTGGATGCTTTCATTATTGCTGAGTCTCACTGGCTCTCCTCTACAAATGGAATTGCCAAGGAAATCCTGGACAAGTTGGCACTGCAGGCCATTTATCTTTGACGTGTGAGGAATCGCCTCGAACCGCTTCTCAAACCGCTCGCGGGATCTCGCGGGCTTGCAGCAACAAGGACGCTACTAGGTGGAGTCTAGTTCACCTTAAATTTCCTCAAACGTCTAGGAGCAAAATAATTAGTGCGAGTGCTTCTTCAAGGAAGCTAGGGTGGCGGAGGGGTGCTCCCTTGAAGAAGCCCCAGCTATCCTGCGTCCAAGGCCGTAGCTTACTTGCAGGTAGTAGCTACCTCTCCCAGTACCTCTCCCTTACTTAATTAAGTAGGCGCCTACAAAATTAAGTAGGGAGGGGGGGAGCAGGCTTTAAGCAAACACACGTTGACTTTCCTAGTTCGAGTTTCCGGCTTGAGGCGATTTGCTCAGATACCATTAGAAGCTCCTTAACCGATGCTGAGCGGGCGTCCTGCACATCATCAGGCCCTGAGATTCATGATTCGAAGTTCAATGGTAGTAACAAGTGCCACGCTAGTAGTAACAGGTGCCTTACTAGTAGGAACAAGAAGCTATTAGTAACAAGTGGCTCCAGTGTTCCAAAGCGCAACAAAGTCCGCGTGACAACATGACCACTCCCAGCCCTTTTCATTTCAATATCACTGGCGTTCCCAACCCAAACCACTCCATCACTCTTTAGAACCTGGTTGCTTGTGCCGCCAGGCTCGTTGAATGGTGTAAGTGGCACGATTTCGCAGCTGGAGCAAAGTATGACAGCAGCATGGCGTGCGTTTGGGCACCTCCAGTCACTCACAGAGAGCTTCACAAAGTACGGACTTTTTCGATCCCTCATAGACGTCATAGACCTTGTTTCCACTCACCGGCTGAAACATACGCATTGTCACCAGGAAGACGTTTGTGCCATAGGCTGCTCAAGGTAAAGAGCGTTGAGCGTAAAGTAAAGCAACATTGCATTCGGCTCAGCAGTCAACCGGCAGTTGCCGTAGGTAAGGACCCTGGATGCGTGGCGGGAATGTCCTACCCACAATGTTCTTCATTGCACTTGGACTTCGCAACTGTTTCCCTCCAATTGTCCTCCACTTTGTTCATTTCACCGGTTCATTCGACCAAGGGAGGAGTTGCTGACTAGTCTGTTTCCTTGTCAATCACTGACCAAGGATCCAACACAAGCATTGCAGCTAGCTGGTGGGATTCCCACGCCCACTAGTGCAATTTGGCTGCAGGAATTTGGCATCCCAAGACATGGCAGCAAATGATGTAGGATCGATGCTTTCCATGGCGACCGAAGGTTGCTCTCACTTCCCTTATGCTACATAGGTCAGCACCGTGTAAGATTGTCGAACTTCCGAGGTCATGGCTGAAGTGTCAAAGTATTTGACACCGGTGCCTTAGTTTAAGTGGACGGTGGACGGATTGTACAATCGTACAGGTTTGTGTGGGTTAGGGTCAAGTCCCAGAACGCACGTCAGAACTCCCGGCCCTTCCAGCCTATTCGAGCCATTTTTGACGACAAAATTGATCGATGCCCCATGGCTGAAGGAGCCATGGCACGTCTCTCAAACACCTTCTGAGGTGTGCACTAGCTCATGCAGTCCACCCACGCAGCTTGGCATGTTTAGGGATTGGCTGAACTGACCACGCTGATATTTTGACAACGATTGGTTTGCATCCTCGAGTTGGAGGCCATCAGGCCATAGCTCTTAGGTTGGAGGCCATCGCAATTAGTAACTCAAAAGAATATGGTTTCTTTGATTTATGCATATTTAAGCTCATTTTTGGACTCTCCTCCCAAGAGCCAGGTCGAGAACATATGACTACAGTCCCCCACCTGATGCTCCCTTGCTGCAACTGGGAGAGATTGGAAGAATTCGCATGTCGTAAAGACACGCGAGTTTGCCCAGGCTCGGCCACAGAACACACATTTTCTCAAGTAAGCCGGCACAGTGCCCCAGGTCTTTGTTAACATGATGGACATCCTGGGGCCCCTTAGTTGGTTTTTGAAAGGGCAGATGTATAGAGGGGTTGGAGGCCATCGCTAGTAGGTTGGAGGCAATCGCTACTAGTAATTTCAATTATATAGATTCTAATTAAATTCTAATTATATAGATTCTAATTAAATTCTAATAGCTTCTTGTTACGACTAGTAAGGCACTTGTTACTAGAAGCGATGCACTTGTTACTAGAAGCGATGCACTTGTTACTACTAGCTTCTGTTTACTACTAGTGAGGCACTTGTTACTAGAAGCGATGCACTTGTTACTAGGCATAATGCGTTTCACTCCGCTCAGGCTCCGTGGGCATCAGCCTATCAGCGTCTTTCTTCGAGGTTGCCCAGGCCGCTGTGGATGCAAAACAATACAGAACATGGAACACTGGTGGAACACTGGTACGTGCCAATGTTCTACTGACTTGCTATGATTAAGCATATCTAGATAGCAGGCTTCAATTGAATGCCTGGGACGAAGCATCATGCCCATACAATGCCAGATATTGCGCGCCTTGGCATTGTGTCGAGCACTCCAATCACATCCAATCACATCATTCACTCACCCTTTGACAATTTGTTTGCCCAAGGTGCCTTTCCCAGGCATCAGTGCCTTGGCTTCAAATGTTGAGAATGTTTGATCAGATTCGGTATTTTTGCTTGCCCCGTCGATCAGCATGTGAGTTGACCTTTCTTTTCTCAGCCTGCTTTCAAAAATGTGGGTCATCTTGAAACACAGCAGGAGTACTGTGAGGAACATCTCCGGACTTGACCTGCAGGCCTGCAGGCTGGCCCTGCACACCTTTGCCTACCACAGCTGAATAATTCCCTGGTGACGCAGTTGGGGAGTGTGAACCGTGGTAGCACAGCTTGAGTGGCTGAGAGTGAACCCTGGTGGAAACTAGAGACGAATGGGCTCAAATTGCCACTCACCCCCTGATAACTTGAGGGTTCAACCCCTACAAGCCTGAGTAACCAACCCACACTTTCACACAACTTGCATGGCTTAGGATATCAAAGCAGTTAGATG